GAATAAGAGTCCTTAAGCTCTCTCTTTCTTTCTCCTTTATTTTTTTTATTTTGGTATCATTAATATACAATGAGCAACATCATTGTGGTTACTGGATTCCCCCTATTATCAAGTCCCCACCACATACCCCATTACAGTCACTGTCCATCAGCGTAGTAAGATGCTATAGAGTCACTACTTGTCTTCTCTGCACTATACTGCCTTCCCCGTGCCCCACCCCTACAATATGTGTGCTAATCATAATGCCCCTTATTCCCCTTCTCCCTCCCTTCCCACCCACCCTCCCCAGTCCCTTTCCCTTTAGCAACTGTTAGTTCATTCTTGGGTTCTGTGAGTCTGCTGCTGTTTTGTTCCTTCAGTTTTTGCTTTGTTCTTATGCTCCACAGATGAGTGAAATCATTTGATACTTGTCTTTCTCTGCCTGGCTTATTTCACTGAGTATTATATCTTCCAGCTCCATCCATGTTGTTGCAAATGGTAGGATTTGTTTTCTTCCTGTGGCTGAATAATATTTCATTGTGTATGTGTACCACATCTTCTTTATCCTTTCATTTAGTGGTGGACAATTAGGTTGCCTCCATTTCTTGGCTATTGTAAATATTGCTATGATAAACATTGGGGTGCATGTGTCTTTTTCAAACTGGAATCCTGCATTCTTAGGTTAAATTCCTAGGAGTGGAATTCCTGGGTCAAATGGTATTTCTATTTTTAGTTTTTTGAGGAACCTCCATACTGCTTTCCACAGTGGTTGAACTATTTTACATTCCCATCAGCAGTGTAGGAAGGGTTCCCCTTTCTCCACATCCTTGCCAGCATTTGTTGTTTCTAGTCTTTTCTCTTTCTTTCTCCTTTTAAATCATGATGCCAGGAAAGAATCTTCAATTTTCACTTAGGCATCAATGACTTAAGAGATTAATTCCAAAAGGAAACTGAACATTTCTACATAAAACAAAGCCTATGCTTCTTCAGAAATGAAAATGAAAAGGAGTTATGCCCTGGGAAAGCTTTGGGAAAGAGTGGGAGACCTTGGGGTCTGTCCTGGATATGCGACCCCCATGTAAGGCACATCTACTTTAGAAAGAGGATTCTTCATTTTAAGATGAATGCCAGATACTCTTTAGGCTCCTTCCCTGATCTCATCTTCTGTGATGCTAGAGACTCTTAGATCTGCCTCAAATTAAAATGTCTTTGGCCTAACTAAATAATACTTCGGAATGCTGAGAAAACATGCAACTGAGATCACTACTCCTCTTAATTTGTTCAGAATCATTAAGAAAGGCACTACCACCACTATACATTGCCATCCCCACCACAACTGCCACTGTCACCACCACCATTATCATCACCATCGCTGCCACCTCCGTCACCACTGCCACAATCGCCATGACTCCCAACGGCATTATTGCCATGACCACCACCGCCATCGCCACCTCCACAGCCATCCCCACCCACCACCACCATCACCATCACTATCACCACCACAACCACTTCATGACAAAGACAGTTCTGTTTTTAAAAGTGGGAAAAATAATTTATGAAAATGCTTAACTTGGGAGCTGATGTTAATCCCAGAAAACAATCTGGAATAGGATGTGGAATGAACTTTTACAATTGAAGCCATGATCTCTAAGAACCAAAAAGGGTTAACTGAAAGTAGTTTATGTCAGGCTAATGGCTTCTTTGACAACATTATTGGCAGACAGATTAGGGAAATACCAGTGATAAAAAGTATCTGGACTTTATCAGGACCTTTGATAAGACTCCTCTGATAATCTTTTGAAAATGAAGAAATATGGGCTGAGTAATAATACAAGAAGTTGAATACGTTTTCTAAAAGAGTATTGTTTACTTATTGAATTAACATCTATCTTTAGAGAGCATATGTGGAATGCCTCAGAATCCTGTTATGTTCGTCATGTTTATTGATGACTTAGTTGAAGAGGTCACACTCATCAGACTTGGGGGTGACGGGAAGCCAGCTGGAAAGGACAATAACTACACTAGACAACATAATCAAAGCCAGAACTATCTGGGCAGGCTGGCAGGATAGACTGAAATGAACAAGATAAATTTGGGAATAAATGCAAAGGCTCTGTATTTGGGTATGGGATAGCATCAGTATAAGCATGGGGGTGTGGGCCATGTGGTACAGTTCAAGAGCAAGCTAAAAAAAGTTGGGTTTTTCTAGTTGGTGTTCCTGGTATAGATTCCTAATTCAACCTCACAGAATTTTAACAGAAATATGAAATGTAGATGGAAGGAGGTGATAATCTTACTCTACTTGATGCTTATTAGGCTTCCCTTGAAATTTTGTATTTTATTCTTTAAGAATAAAGAAATTAAAGAGAAGTAGAGCGGGAGTGATAACGATAGTGAGGAATTGGAGCCAGTGGCCTATGAGATAGGTTGGAGCCTTGGAAAGGGCACTGACCAGGGAGTTGGAAGCCACATTACATCACGAATTGGCTGTGAGATCCTGGGCAAGTCAGTGTGTCCCAAATCTGGTGAAGGCCCTCCTTTAGGAGAACCACTGCAGTAGTGGTTGACTGACCTGCTCTTCCAGGTCATGGCCCTCTGGACAGGCCACACTACAGGGGTTCCTTCCTCCCTACCACATCCATCCAGGGATAAAGCCTCTTGAGCCTCCTAAACAAAATTTTGTGTTCTTTAAATGCTATCAGCATTCATAAGTTGTACCAATTATTTCACTTGGGAATCCTTTAAAAGCACCCTTTCTCTGATTTCCTGGGAAGAAGATGATGGCAATTCACAACACCACTACTACATATGACATTTATTGAGGTACTAAAGCAAAAGGCCTAAAAGAGTAGGTTTTGAAATCATAAGGGCCTAAGTTAAAATATAGCCTCTCCGCTTACTTTATGACCACTTATTTAAACTTTCTGAGACTCAGTTTCCATTTCTGTGACTCTCAGGCTCATAGTGATGTGGATATTAAGTGAGACAAAGCATGTACCAAATAAAGCACAATGTGGGGCACCAAGTAATGGCCCAATAAATGGTATAGCTAATACTACTACTCCATTTATTACTACCATCCCTCCTCTTTCTTTCTCTCCCTCATCTTCCTCTGGGCCAGGCACTGTGATGGTTGCAGGGAATATGGTAGAAAACAAGATTCACATCCCCTGCCTGCACAAGCTTACAAGCTAAGCACTGCTCAGTTGAACTTTCTGCAATGCTGGAAATGTTCTTTATGTGCATTCTCCAGTATGGTAGACCAAAGCCGTATGCAGCAATTAAGCACTAGAAATCAGACTGGCATGACTGGGGAGCTGAATTTTAAGTTTGAGTTAATTTCAAAGAATTAAATGTAAATGGCAATTGCTCCCTGTGAAAACAGCACAGTTCTGGACACCTTTCAGTTCCATTTCTGAGACTGACCTGACTGAGGAGAAAAAAAAGATGCATCAAAAGGGAAATGCACATAAAGCACTCAGTGCAGTATCTGCAAAATTATCTTCATTGTTATTCATCACATTTCATAGTCTGTTGTGCATAAGGTCCACCTCAGGTATAACACCAGCTGGACCATCAGGGAGCTCACAGTTTAATGGGGCTTGTAAAGCTAAGTGAGCTCACTGCCCCAATGTGAGCATATACACAGGCACTATGTGTGCACCATAACTCAGAGGAGCAGTTGGGAAAGGCTTCTAAGAAGGATGATTGGAATAGACTTGAGCCAAACCTTGACTAAGTAGATCTCATAGTGGGGGCTCAGTTGATACTTATTCCATTGCAACAACAGACTGTACTCCAGGGCAACCAAGTTCAGTGTGGATGGCAGAGGTGGTTACAAGGCAAACATGGCCTTGGGGAAAACTCATAGCTAGGATCAATTTGTTTTCTTTGAAAATTTTCCCTTTGTGTCTTTTTGTATTGTCTAATCCAGTTTCTCTCCTGCAGCCACACTTTCTTCACCTGTAGACATTTTATGATAATGTGTATTTTTTATTGTTTTATTAGTAGTCACTAACCTTGAGTGATTGCAGGTTCTGGGGTGTGAGGAATGGCGTTGTGGGCAGATGAACTCTGTTACATATAAGGTGACATCAACGCCCACTGTGGTTTGGTTGTGGAATTCCAATACTTGCTGTGAATGAACAGCTCTGTGAATATGGCCAGTATGTGAAGAAGCCGTCACTGATTGGTTGGGCTGGCTGAAGCTGGATGGAGTAGTGATGCACATTCATAGGAGAGAGGGCTATTCTAATCACATGTGTGGAGCAGTGGGATCTTATGCCCACTTACATATTCAGGCAATAGTTTCATTGTTCAAAGTTAATATGTAATGTCTAGCCAGAGAATTCTGCAAGTGACACACATTCAGATAAAAGCAGGCACCCTGTGTGTGTATAAAGCTGGATGATATGTGTGATTCCTTCTCTATGAGGCCAGGAGGATGCTCATGTGATCTGGCTTGCTCATGTGAGTCTCTGGTCTGTTTGAGTCCTTATTAGAGTCCCTGATTTGACTGTGGTAGAGTTGCCTCTGGTGGATGGAAGTATACATTAGCCTTTTCAAAAAGCAGCTTGTCATATATATCAGGAGTCTTGAAACATTCATGTCCTTTGGCCCAGTGATTCTATTTCTGGGAAACTACCCAGAGGAAGTACTGGGACATGTGTGCAGCAAAGATTTTGACCAGGGATGTCGTGCAGTTATTTGTAGTTGCTAGAGACAGGAAGCACTTTGAATCAGTAACAGCATAATAATATGCAGCCATGAAAATGATGTTCATGAAGGACTTTTGCTATGGAAAAAAGAGGGTAGTAGCTAGAGAGGCTAAGCAACTAATTACCCAGTAGTCAGAAACCTGGGTTTTAATCTTGGCTTTACCACTGGCTACCTGTGTGACTTGGGCAAGTCAACTGAAGTCTGTGGTCCTGCCTCAGAGAATCTTCTGAGGATTAAATGACACACTGAATATAAAATACTTCATATTTGCAAAGTACATTTATTAGATATTGAATAAATGTTGGCTCTCTTTGAATTGTATGATTTCAAGGCATAAAACTAGATGGAAAGGAAATATGCCAATATATTAACAGTGTGGAAACTGGGTGGTAGAATTGCAGGTAGTTTGATTCTCTGCATACTTTCCTCAACATCCCAAATTTTCTACATTAAACATGAATTATTTTTATACTAAAAGAAGATATCATGGGGATATAATACAATAAGGTATTTTTAAAAAATAGTTTTACCACAACAAGACAATATTTCCCCTTCCTCTTCCCCGTTCCCCTGCAGGGGAGGAGCTGGGGGAGGCCTCCTCCCCCAGGGATGAGGAGGAGAGGGAAGCCCTGATGCTTTAGGGGTTCTTCCTCTGGCCTCACAAGCTCAGGGTAGAGACCTCTGGGAGTACGGGGTTGGCAGAATCCTCCACTGCTTGTTGAAGGTGCTTTGCCAGTTGGGGGAAGTTGGAACAGATGCCCTTAGTGACTCCTGTCTCTGAGAGACTAGATTCCAAGGTGCTCTCATGTTTATCATTTTTTCCCCTTTCTTGGTTGATCTGAACCAAAGACTGACATAAAAGAGTAAGGTGGTAAAGATTAATCTACTTGCTACCCACCTCAAGCCCATCCTAGGAAAATACCTGTGATAACGCCTACAGTGCTTTACATGAACGTACAAGGTGACTGGCAAAGAAAAGACAAATCATCGGTGCAACAGGAAGTTAGCTTGGTTGCAGCCGCATTATTTAGTTAGTACAGTTTATATTCTAAACAGAATGGCTGGCAGATTCAGCCCTTTCCACTTCGTCCCTTTCCACGTTAGGACTTGTCCCTGAAATGAGAAGGGCATAAAGCACAAAGGGGTGTGTGTGTGTGTTCGCGCGCTCGCGCGCGTGTACACGTGACCAAACAGTGAAGGCATTTGCCCCCTGTGATCTAATGTCCTTCATTGACAACTAGGATCCAGCAAGTGGCTCTGTGGGTTGTATTTTAGACAAAGAATCCCAGGCACTGAAAAAACAAAGTCGTCCCCCGCATTCGAACCTTAGGGGCAGTTCCTGGTCCCGTGTCCTGACCGCTGCCGCTCACCGGTGACTCCTCGGGGCCACACCTCCAAGACCCAAGGTGCGTTCTCCCAAGCCCGCTAAATGACAAAATGACAAACAGCCTTCGCGGGTCCTCCTCCGCACTGCTAGGTTATCATATGCTAATGAAGCTGGAGGGGCCGGCGGAGACCGCCGTGCCTGCCCGTCTGCCTTCAGCGCGCGGGCGGATCGGCCTCGCGCGCGCGCCACTGCGGCGCAGCCACCTCTCAAGGCACGCTACCGCAGACCCTCTTGAAGGGGTAGGTGGGGAAGGGAAGGAGCCGTGCCCGGAACTCTGAGTTCCGCAGCTGGATAGCTCACATCTGCTAGGATGCCTCCTCGCTCCAGTCCCGTGCTTTCCACTGCAGCGTTGGCGGGGAAGGGGGCGGCGCAGTACAATCTCCTCCAGGGCTTTCTCAAACTTCGCAGCCCCCTCCCCAAATTCTAGTCCACTTGTCCTGAGGAAGAAAATCCCAGACTAGGAAGGGTGAAGTGGACTGTTGGAGTTTTCAAAGCCCAACAGGTGATACTAGACGCGCACCGCTGTAGACACACACACACACACACACACACACACACACACACACACACACACACACACACACACACACACACACACACACATCTTGTGACCCCGAGACTAAACAGGTCAGGTTTACATTCTCTCCCTGATCCTCCTCTCCTTTCCTAGCCTATCTTTGCCAAGGTGTCTCTGTTCTCTTCAGTTGCCCTTTAGGCTCTGAGCTCCGGGGCTTCGTGGACTGCCCCAAAGTCCTGGAACCCTGTGGGACGGCCAGAAGCTTTGGCGGCCAGACGTTAGGAAAACTATCCCCCACTGCTTGCGGCCCTGTGCACCCTGGAGCGCGAACTGGATATCAAAAAGCCAAGGTAAGTCTAGGCGGGGAGAAATCTGACCAGTTGCTTCAGCAAACTGCTTGGAGCAAAGCGGCCTCCCGCCCGCACACCTTTGCGGTTTGGAAGGTCCTCCCAATCGAAGAGGGAGCCGATGCCCCACCCTGTGCCGCTCCCGTGCCCTCACCCTTCCAGAGGGGCATCTCCTTCTGCAGGGGCTTTGGGGCAAGTGACACCGTCAGGGTGGGTGCAGTGGCCTCGGCTGCAGCCGCTTCCTCTGGCCACGGGACTGGCTCCCGTTTACCCTAAATTTCAAGTTGCTGCAGCCCGCGTTCCCCAGCCGGAGACCCTCTCCGCTGCGCCGGCCACTGTCTTACCTCGTCATGCAACACTTGGTTGCGCGGTTTCCCGGAGCGCTCCTTCCTCGGAGCTTATTCCCTTACTTGGGAGGAAAGAGGAACCGAGAGACAGAGAGGGGACCAAAGCTGTCGTCTGGGCGTCTTCCCGCTCCCGCAGCCCTCTCAGGGAGGGAGATGGCAGCCAGAGCGGGCGCCAGCAAGCCCGGGCGGCCCGGCTGGGGTTAGGCAGCCCCAGGGTCTTCTGTCTGCTCGGTCGCCACGGCTCAAAAGCAGTATGTAGCGGCCGCCCGCTACTACGGCACTGCGGCGCCCTGCCCCTAGCCGCTTGGTAGGTCCAGCTGCCACTCTCACCGCGGAGCCCTGCCTCCGGGCGCAGAGCCCGCCCACGCCACACACCCGTGCGCGCGCACACACGCGCCACACACAAACACGCGCGCGCACACGAATGCTGATCGGCTCCGTTGGCACCCGCGCCCTTTTGGTGTAACTTGGGCGCGGGCATCGTTTGGGCACGTCTCACAAATAGGGCTTCAGTTTGGGAGGAGGAGTTCAAGGTTTAGGGGTTAGGAGAGGGTGCAGCAGTGGTGAGCTCGGCAGGCACAGAGACCAGCTCACTCCGAGACGGAGGACAACTGTTTGGCAAATAAAATACCCACCGGGCATTTCGGTATCGAACCAGGGTGTAGGCTGCCTTAATACCTCGACCAAATCAGACAAAAAGTAAAAATAAAAAATCGGCAAGTTCTTTCCGTTTTCCAGGAGTTCCATGTCTCTATAGCCTCCAATCACTGCCCTTGCCCAGGGGCATATTTCTGACAGCTTTCACCCTGGTGGCTAGGGATTGGAGACTGCTAAATTTGAAAATATTTCCCCCTCCACAGGTATAATGGGGACCATCACAGATCACCAGAATTGGGCTCTGATCTCTGGATCAGGTCTCAGGACTGAGGGTTGTTAATTTCCTCTCTTTTTTTGCATTTAGGTGAACATGGACTGTTTTACTTTGCAGCAAACAGACCACTTTGTATTTTCAAAATGTGGAAAAATACAGGAACGGAGCTGGGGGTGAGGGGCAAGGGATGAAGGCCAACATTGGCCAAGGCACTGTGACTTGTTGCTTCTCTTTCCATGAAGTACATCCTGCAAGGGGTGGTGGTGGTGGTGACACTGTCTCAGGCATGTCATATCAGGGGATGACTTCTGTCCATTTCACACCACTTTAGAGTCATTGGAAGTGTGGACTCTCATCTGTAAAATATGTGGAGTTTACCAGTTTTCCCAGGTCAGGACTGCAGCCAAGGAAAGCTTTCTGGAGATATAGAGGCACCAAGGGGTCCTGGGTGCCTAGGCATTTGGGGAGGAAGTCTCAAACATGAATGTCAAGCAGCCCCGAGGACCCTGATGGTCAGTATCCATACTGGAACATCTACAGGCAGACTAATGGGACAGATGAGAACCTGAGGCTCAAACATTTCCCCAAGGTTCCACCTGGCAATGAAGGCCAAGCCAGTACCAGAACCCCATGTTCATAGTTCATCTTACCATTCAGGATTCATTCTGTCACCCTGGGTTGTTGCTCAAAGTTCCCTTCAGCTGGACTGAAATAATCCTGGTGAGGATGCTGTCAATGTTATTCTTTTATCATTTTTTGTTCCCCTTTCACTTACTGACTCACCATTTCACAGCTACCTACTAAGCTCCTACAATGTCTTCAACCACTTTCCCCTGACTCTAGTCCTGGGCCTTACTTGGGAAGAGAGGAAAAGCAAGAGACAGAAAGGCTTAGAGCTGCCCCTGTACCCAGTAGAGAAGAAGGCTGGTCACAGGCTCACTCTGCATATTTTTGCCGTGCTAGGTTGGATGAATGTAGAAGACATAATCCTTGCTTTCTGAACTATTATCCTCTGTTAGGTGGAGGAAAACACATACATGTCATAAAAAAACATTCCTGTTCAATCCACTTCTGACTCCTTCTAAAGAAGGTGAAACTGAGGGAGCACCTATATTGGGCTGAGCATCAAGATGGATTTGGAGTTGCATGCCTGCAGGTAGCGGGTGGGGCAGTATTGAATTAGAACAGTAAGGAAATAAAAGGAAATAAACTGGATGGGAGGAAAGAGGAAAGCACACAGAGATATAGTGCAGAGATGCAACCTTCCTGGGCATGCATTGAGGAAGAGTAATGAGAGAAACTCCCAGAACAGGGCTGTCAAGCAAGGATTTGGAGGACGGGTATTCTTGCAAAGATTGGTAGAGTTTGCTGAGGCTGGGGTGGGGGTGTATGAAGTCCCCACTCTTCACCCTTCCTATGAAATAAATCATTTGTAAAGTCAGTATTGTTCCCCAATTTGTTTGTGAGTAGACGCCTTTGGGGAACTGAGGGTGCTGCTGAGTTCAGCATCTGGGTTGATGCAGGGTGAGTTACAGAGAAGCCTGAGTGAACAGAGGCCACTAAGTTCCATGCTAATACCATGGGAAGAAAGGGTTGTAATAAAGGCAGAAGCTGTGTGGAAGGCAGGGAGCACTGGGAAGGGATGAGGCATCACGCACAGTTAGGTGGCTGGAGACACGGAGTGCATAAGGCTTGTGAGGGACTTGAAAGGTGAGGAGGGGTCCGGCACAAAGACCAGAGGACAAGGGCACTCCACGCTGAGGAAAAACAGAACACTAAAGGAGTACAACCCGTGGTGAGATCTGGGCCATCGGGAGGAGAAAGGAAGGTCCAGGATCATATTATGGAAAGCCCCCAGGGTCTCTGCCAGCAGTGTAGACTTCAGGCTCTGAGTACCGAGGAGCTGTCACATGCATTTTTGGTTGTTTTGGTTTGGTTTTGACAGAAAAGGGGCTGGGAAACAAGCTGGCAAGCCTCTGATGCCAGCTTTCCCAAGCAAAGCCTTCCCGCCAGAAGGGAGAGTGGGGAGAGATCGTGTTGCTGCCTTCATGAGGAGCCAGAGCCCAGGTAGTGCAGGTGGCTCACTCACAGGGAGCCCAGCCAAAGGGCTGAAGTCCAGCCCACACTCCACTAGCCCAGCCATGCAGCCTGGCAGAGCCCCATCTGCCTGCAGGAAGGGGTGGCTTTTCTCTAATTTGCACAGAGGCTTGGCTTGAGCTGGCCTGACAGAGACCCTGGCTGTGGAACTTAGGCTGATGAAGCGACAGTGAGCAATTGCAGATTTACTGAATATTTGCTGTGTGTGCAAAGCAAGGGTAAAGTGAAAGAGTCTTGAAGTCAGGAGTAGCTATGAACCTGAGCGTATCTCTGCTCTTTGCTGACACTCCAAGATGTCCTATGGGGTGCAGAGTAGGAAGCTTACTTTGTCCCCTCAGAACACCACAATCCCATTGGCTATAAAACAAACATGCAAAACAATTAAGAAGTCACAAAAGACAATAGAAAATCAAGTGCTAAATTACACAGGGCAGATTCCTAGAGTGTGAGAAGGAAGAACTTCTCTGGGCTTGAACAGTCAAGGAAGGTTTCAGGTGTGAGGACATCTGGGCTTCCGAGAGGAGCGTGTGTTGGCTCTGGATTAGAGAACAGAGTTGAGAACAAAGGGATGGATACAGCGAAGCTGGAGGCCTCTGAGCCTGGACTTTTAGCTCCTGTGACCACTCTAATGCCATTCCCAGTCATAGCCCAAGCACTCTGGTGAGTCACCTTTGTTTCTGAGAGACAGGGCATTTTTGGATGTTTAACTGGCTTGACACTTTACATTCTCTGAGACTTTAATGTTGGCAGCTCACGTTTGCCATGTTGCTCTGGGAACACATCATCCAAGCTGGCAGCTGATGTCTGGTCTCCATTGCCAAGGCAAAGCCAGGGCTGAGTCAGGCACCTGTGTCTGGAAATTTTTAAGTCAAACCATCTCTGGCAAGCTGCATGAACAGCTTGTGACACTGCACAGCTGAGGTTGCAGTGGTGGGTCAGTGACTGGGGACCAGGAGACCTGGGCTCAAATCCTTGCTCAGGGACTCAGTTCACCTTTCTGGGACTCACTTCTCTCATCTACAAAATGAAAAGATCACACCAGATTGTTTCCACACTGCCTTCAACCTAATATTTCATAATGAATAGAATCTTTCCATTTTATGAAACAAGTATAGGTAGGGGACTGATATTAGCCAAGTCCCAACCTTAACTTTCCTCTTGGCTTTGATTGTGAAGGTTGTGCTTGAAAGAGATTGTGAGACTGTGGGATGGGGACAGAAGAAATAGGAAGCTCAGCTCCTGGTCCCAGTCTTGTCACACACCAGATTTGTGGTCCAGCCCTGGGAATGTAGGCAGGCTGCTCCCTCTGTGGGCCTCAGTTTTCTTTGTGGTAAAACAAGGAGTTTGGAAATTGATCTCTGATACTCTGTTAAGTACTGTCAACTGAACAATTTTTAAGAACTGTCCCATCACTAAGGTGGGACCCCTCACAAGACAAGCTGGGAAAATTCCCATGATGCCAACTGATAGGCTTGGGGGGAAAAGCACAAAAGAGAAGCCATGAAGTTAAGAGCAATAAACAGACCATTTAGATGGAGTTGAAAGACCTGGGTCTATGTCTCTAAGCCTCAGTTTCCTCTTCTGTAAAATGGGGATAGTAAAACTGGGTGGGGTAATGGTAAAATGAAGAAGCATATGTAAAAATGCTTGGTATATATAGAAGTGCTATGCAAAAAAGATAATTATTAAAAATAGTCTGCTCCCCTAAGACAGTCTGTTAAGAGAAAAAAAACCCAATTATATTACTTATTCACTTGTCTGCTTCCTAGGAAGCAACAATTTAGGTCAGCAACTGTCTCCATGCTCCTAAGGATAGTAATATTTTAACCTGAAAACTTAATAAAGGAGCTAGTGGACCTCAGGACTGACTCACAGGCTGCAAATGTTCCCCCTGCCTAGAACTCTGCAATGTCACTCGAGTTGCTCACAGTGTAATTCTCAGGTACTTTGACTGAGTTTACTTGAAAATGAAGGAGACACCCAGCCATCCAAGATCCTACTTTGATTATTGTCTATCAGGAAAGGGATGGTGGAAAGAAGGAAGTTTGAGAAGCAGGGAGAAAGAGAAAAGCCTTTGCCTTCCTGATATATTTTGGGCAATGGATGCTAAACTTTCTGCTTTAATGAGCTTGTAAAGAGACTAATTTTGGATCACTCACATCACTCTGGATCTGTTTTCTGCTATGCCTGGTCAGGAGACACTGCTGTGGACTTCTTCACTGTTGCCCCTGGTGGGGGGAAGCTTTCCTGGGGACCCCTGGGAAAAACCACAAGGAGAAAAAGGTTCTAATTCCGTAAATGGCCCTATGCTTCAAAGCCTGCCCAACTCCAGAACTTTTGAGAGGGATCAGTCCATTTTTAGAAATATTGGTCACTTCTTTCTCTCTTGTTAACCAATCTGGAGGGGAGAAACCGTCAAAATATGTTAAAAATGAAGGGAGCCCCTAAGTGCTGGCATTTTTGTCATCCATTCTTTCTGTTTGCTGCTGCCAGAATTTCTTTCTGAAAGTATAAACCCTGAGCCATCCCTTGGCTTAAAAGCTTTCAAGGTCTCAGATTCCTCATCCACGAGGTAGTCATAGGAATACTTATCAAGCATAGGTTTCTGCAGGGTATATGAGAAATACTTATAAAACATTTAGCACAGTGTCAGTCACGTAGCAAGTTCTCAATTAATAGGATTATTGTTATGATGGTTCAGAATCAAGTTGCTGTTTCCAAAAGGGCATTCAAGGCCCTCCATGTTGTAGTCCCTACTTACTCATCCACTCACACTTCCATGAGCCCTGTAAGGATCTGGTACACGGTGGACTGGCTTCATCAGCCAAGCACACACTGCACCCACCCCTCTCCGTATCCTACTTGGACTGCTCCGGTGGCCAGGAGAGCTGCCTTTTTCTCTCTCTTGCTCCTTCTATAGTGGCACCTCTGAAGCCTACCCACTGAAGTTTTTTATTCCTCTCTCCTGTACTCCCATTGAAACTTGTGTATAGTTTATTCTAGTATTTAAACAGGCTACCTCAATAATGGTTATCTGTGTGTGCCTCACACTCCCTACTCTGCCCCATCCCTAGGACCAGAGCTGACCTTCTTTAGACCATATCTTAATCATCTTCCTCTCACCCATAGTGTATTGTACATACTCAGGCATCAATAACATTGCATTGAATTTTTCAAAGACACTAAATGTCACTATTGGCTCTGAGATTCTACCACTGAGGGAAGGTTTATTCTTATTTTTAAAATCTTCTAAAGAGCTATTCACTGAGCACCTACCATGTGCCAGCCACTCCTCCAGAAGCCATGTGAGGACAGTGCCACCAGCCTCATTTTACACAGATGTTGATTGTTCAAGCGGTGCGGTCAGTGTCAGTGACCAGAGCCTCCGTGTGCACAATCTCTGTCTCCCTTCCTCTAAGGGAGCTTCTTCCACACCAGGCTCTAATTTTCATTCTATAACACTTGTGAACAAATTGACCTGAATTATATAAAACTGTTTATTGCTTCCTGGCTGTATTTTTTAAATGTCTTTGTCTTGATTCTCCAAGTAGTTGTACAGCAATATAGTAATTGAAATAAATAACCATCTATTAAACACATATATTTAGCACTTTACACACACACACTAATTCTACAAAGAAGATGTTATCAATCCCATTCTACAGAGAATTCAATCGGAGCTGCTCCTGGCAGGGGAGTGTTGAGTTGGGAAATACCAGGGCAGAGGCTATTTTCCAAGAGATACAAAGTATTTTGCTATTTTAGTCACCAGCATACCAGCTGAACCTGAGCCCTAAATGATGTTTGATGAGTAAATGATGGAATGTTTTCCATCTCTCGATCTATACTCTTGATGATAAATCCCTGATCCATATGTATCCCATGGAGTGACAGGTAGTCACTGCCACCTTCTCCCATCAGTGAAAGGAACAGGTGGCAAAGGGAGGAGCATGGCTCTATACCAACTGGAGAAAGTCCCAGGAGATGAGGCTTTAGCCCAGTAGAGGTGAGGTGGCCTCTCCTCCAGGCTTGCAAGTCTCTAGGTGTGGTCCTCTAATCTCCTGGGTCTGCCTCTCCTGAATGCTTGTTAAAAAGCATATTCCTGGGCTCTATCCAGGACCCACTGAATCCAAAGGCCAGAAATCTGAATTTTAAACTAGTCTCTGGACCCAGAAGTCTGAGCACCACAGCCTGTCCTAAGCTCCCCTGAGGGATTTCCTTTTAACTTCAGTGACTGTTCCAAATAAACCTGGCTTTTTCTC